CCAAATCCTTCGCACTTTGCTGGTGGTGTCAGCATTAATCAGCTTGAACGAGAGCCAAAGCCAGGTAAGTTTTTTGGGTTTTTTTTTGGCAGTTTTCAAATTTAATCATCGCTAAGTTGTAGTTTCAGGCTCCGGGCCTGGGGGTCGACCCTTTGGCACGGGAGGTGCTGCGCCTATTGGAGGTCTTTTCGCTAATGGCTTGCCATCTAAACCCAGTGATAACAAGATTCGTCGGGCTCATACTACTGCAATCACACCCATAGCTCCACCGCCACCACATATATCTAAACAGGCTTCTGAAGGTATACCCGTAGAATTGTATTGGAAATGTCAAAACATCACTAGAGCTTTACTCATCCTTTTGTTTACGTCTTTTCGTGAAGTCTGGTTTTCATGCTGGTTGATACGATCATCATGACTGTCTCTTCCTATTCGAATATCTCGATGATCCATTTTACTTGTGAAGTAGTGCAACACTATTGAATGCGTTATCTGTTAACACCGTAGTGTAGTCTATGATCGGGATGTCTTTGCTATAGAAAATTCCTAATTTTTTGATCATTACTGGCTTGGACAGGGGTGCACTGCTTCACATATTCTAAAATTTAGAAGTTTACAAGACTGTTATATGATAAATCATCTGATTATACCAATTTATTCTTCACCTACATCATTTAGTCTCGACTCGGCCGTCGCCTTCAAATCATGTCGCTGCTCCACCTGCGCCTCCGAAACCTTCGGAGTTGCTTACAGCTAACAAGCCGTCGCCACCACCTCCCCCTGTACAGAGCAAAAATGTGAGTATGCAGTAAGAACCGTTTTCTATTGCTTTTTGCTATCTGTAAATAAGCTATCTCACAGATTGCTTCTGGCACAAATAACCGTGAACAGTTTAAAACCATGCGGCCATTTAAGCCAGAAATGAACTACTCAAATTCCAAAATGAGACGGAGTGGCAGCTCAGAGGTGGGGGATTTTGTTTTTTCGCTTATCTGATTTCTGTTGGATGTATGTAATGAAGAGATACATATCAACTGAATCATTTTTTTTTATTGGTTTTCATCATAGAGAAGCTTACCCTTGTAATTTTCCAGGATGTTTCTTCGCGTGAATCTACTCCTGCTCGTGCTCCGCTCGCTCGTCCATCGTTTCATCCCCCAGCAAGACCAACTGCTCCTCCACCTCCGCCACCTATCGTGCGCACAAATGGCTTTAATCCACCAGATCCACCTCCGACACCGTCTGTAGGACCTGTTACATCCGGCCTTACCAGCAGGTTTATACTTTTCTATATATATTACAGTACCCTGTTGTTGATTTCAAGTCCGAGAAATTTTTGTCGTAAGAATCTTATTGTTAATTGTAACGAAGGTCTCAATTTTTTT